TTTGTGCGATCGAGGGCGAGTAGTCTAGAGATCGACAAGATTATTGGTCACCTGAGTCTGCGAGGCGAGTCGATATTGACGAAAGCTAATTTAATGGGGAACTCGTACACCAGACTCGGAATTCATAATATTAATCTATCGTGCATCTCGGTGTAATTAATATTAATCATAAAAGCGCGGATATTTTAATTTGTGTGTTCGCTCTTGTAAGGCAATCTTACTCGTATACGTCGAGCGTAATCGAGCGTACGTTTAGGCAAATTTTATAAATCTTTCTCGGCACGTGAGCCAGATTTAAAGTAGACAAATGTTTCGGAGGCTAATAATGAACTTATGACCAAGGTTAATACTTAATCACATCGAGGATTTAGCATTCTGGAGCATTCGATCGAATGGAAAGGAAATTTAGTGCATCTATATTCCAGCGCTAATTAATTAATCAATTGTCGAAGAAGGCGAAACGTAAAATTAGCCGCTTTTAATAGCAATTGGGAGCAGCTATTTTAGCGTTCAACGTAAAGTTATTGATAAAAACCAAACGAAATGACTTATGATTTATCGAGATGGCCAGTTAAAAGTGACCAAAGCAATTTAGCCAGTCGATTAATTGAACTACCATGATACGTTTTAATATAAAAAAAAGGGAATGCGATCGATGTTTGAGTCGATGATATATTTGAGTTACAAAAACTGCGTGTCATTTTTATAAAAATATATATTATATGTTGCAGGGCCAAGATTTTCCAAGGCCAATATTCATTCTACATTTCATTCAAAATTCGTTAAAACTTTATCGACCCTATTAATTAAATTACGGATTATCGACGATAGATAATGCAGTCTTGGCGGCAAATCAAAAAATAATATTCAGCAAAATATTTCGCTAGCGTGACAAAAGCGAGATAAAATAAAATTGTATGCGCTCTCGCAAATTTCATCTTCGATTTCATCACTGCTATTTCGAGAGAAAATGAAAACTTGCTAGTCAACGAATTACGTGTTTACAAAAAAAAAAACGTGCCAAAGTTTACTAATAAATATAATGTAGTATTTATATTATTCGTGTGTAAAATAGTAACGGGAAGAGACTTGTTTTATATTGAAAAACTTTGAAAATTGTATAGCTCTTGAATGTCAATTTTTTCATTATAACCAAATAATATGATTATTTTTAATTAAAATTGCATTCAGATATTCTCACTGTATGGCCTCGATTATATGAAAAAGTAAGATATCTCTATACGTGATATTATAAGATATTATATTTCAGTTTATACATCAGTTTAAACTCGTTTATGTTAATTAAAGATCCATAAAAACGTATCGAATATATATGTCAATAGTTTCAAGTTACTTAATATAGCGCGCAAAATTAAAGGCAAATGTGTATATATATATATATATATATATATATATATATATATATATATATATACGCACACACGTTGAATAAACATTAAATTAATAATATATCATAATATTTTATGAATTAATTCGTCGCTATTGTTTTCTAACTTTGTTGATTCATCATTTATCAAGACTAAATCCTTTAGATACAACACAGATCTAGCACAATAAACTATTAAATTTTATTATTTATCTAGAATGACGTATTTAATTTTCGACTCTGGCTCCAAACGTAGACATTAAATACACGTTGAATATTAATTATAAAAAAATTACTGACTATATTGTGACCCCTAAAGTAAATGTGACATGTAAAAGGACACAAAAACAAGCAAAATATGTAAAATACCAGTGGACCAAATGAGCTTTATTAAGAGTTTATTAAGGGCTAAGACGGCGATTATTAATGCTAAAAATAACCGGGCATCGTCGCGCTATTCCCGACTCAAAAGTAAGCAGCGAGTATAATTACAACATCGCAGGGAACTGAGCGACCACGGCGCCTCAGCGACTGAAGAGACGAGGAAACACCAAAGAAAAGCGCTCTGGATGGATCTTCGCACCGTCGTCGTAAAAGCGGTGTAGCGCGAACAATGGAGACAGCGAGTCGATATTTTGAAATTCCAAGGCTGTAGTCGCCGTCGGTGCACAGAGGCGACATAATAATCCAGAGTCTCGCTGGAATTCCCATTAGACGTCGTCCCCAAGTGCGTTTAGTATGCGAATTGTGCACTCGGCGACTCTTTTCCTCATTCGTCGATCCGCGCGTCACATTCCAATACGATGACACTGGACGTCTCTCGGCAGCTGCGCAAACCAGTATGTTTATTCGAGCCCGAGGGATGTAATGCGCGGCTTGCAGTGCGCCAAACGAAATCGAAAACGAAATGGAAATTACACGCTTGCCGAAAGCAGCGCGAGCTGCGGAGCTTTGGCTGAGCGGTGAGGGGTGACGGGTGAGGGGCGATGAGGCGTGTGGTGAGTGGCGTGCGTGGGTGAGGGGGACGAGGGGGCGATGGGGCTGGCGGGGGGCGATGGGTGGCGTGGGGGGACGAGGGGACAGGGGAAAGAAGGTAAGGAAGAATGAGACGGGGGAAGAGGCGAAGGCGTAGAAGGGATATGCTCGATGGAGAAATGCGCAGAGTCGTTGGTTTATGAAGCGAGGAAGTGTGCGAATCTCGGAAACCCCGCACGCGCTGTGGAAAATGCAAGCGCGAGCCTAATACTATAAAAAGGCTCTTTCGTTTCGCTCTTTATTAGCGAGCGTTGCTTACTGCGTAATTGAATTTAATGGCAATATAGTAGTCATTCTCTCGAATGTTTATAAAGTGCCGTGCCAATAGATTCTTATAGTATATTCGATTTTGAAGGAAATCTAAATTACAACTCCCCTCCACACCCCCTGATACCAGAGATGATCCACTTCATTTTCATGCATTTCTTCACATCTACGCGCACGCACACGCTCTCCCACTAATGTGCAATCTTACCAACTCTTTTCGCAACACATTCTAATAATAACCTCATCCCCTCACTTTGCATTGCTTATCATTCTTATAGGGTCGAACGTGCTCGTATACCCATAATTACCTATGGAAGATTTGAGAATTCAATCATTCGTCACAATAGCCTCTCTCCTTCTCCTCCTCCACTCTCTCAGTCGTTGTTCTACTAATCGATTGTTTATAAACGTGAACATATTTATCCCGATAGTCGTTTGAAACGAAAATAGAAGAGCTGCATTGGCATAAATATTAATCCAAGAAACGACAGCCGTAAATTATTGCATATGAAAATTATGGCATCTGAGCATGCACTCTACTTATTTTGATTGATAAATAAATATTTCTCATTTGTGGCTTGTTCTTTTTATTAATTACTATCTAAAATTGCAAATTCGTCTAATATATACTTTTTTCTTATAAAATCAATTGAAATACTACGTAATTTTTACAATTTAAATTCCTATGCTCGATACGATAGAATTTTTTATTTAATGTTCATTCGCATGAATGTAAATTATTACAAATTCATTAATCGTAAGAAGCGAGGCAAAACAAAAACAAAAACAAAAACAAAAAAGAAAACATTAAATATTAAGTAGAAAACGGCTTGATGTTAATCATCGGTTTCGTTAAATTAATTTCTTCCCTTAACGATAATACACTATTAATATATTTCGAGCTTTAAAACAATATTTTTTTCGCATAATTCATAATTGGGTAAATTATTCAAGAAAATTGGATTCAAGAATTCTTAGAATATAACTTTGCATTAATTAAGTCTTTTGTATAATACGAAACAAAAGGGGAACAACAGTCACATTTATTGATCTAATCATTGTCTCATCGATTAGGTCAGAAGTATTAAGAAAATATATTTGACATAACATTTTTGGCTCCAATTTTCAAATGTCTCTATCATAATATTTACAATTTATGCTTTGCGTATTAGAGCCAAAATTTTAAATATCATAGGTTTAAAGTACTTAGCCTTCTTTAAGGTTTTTTTTTTTTATTGAGATCTCCAAGTGATTAAAAGTATATCGCAACTAGCGAACGGTACATTATAGTTAGGAAGAGAAGCGTCGTCGATGCCTCCTAATAGTCTCATTACTGATACTCGGTAAGCCTCGTAATGGCGCGAATAATGGTTTTTTTTTTTTTTTTTTTTTTTTTTTTGTAGAGCTTTGACAATGGCATTTTTTTTATCTGGCTACTTTCTCCGAAGGATCTTTTACCTGTCGAATTTAATGCTGTAATGAGATATGATACGAATAAAATAACATTTTAACATGTGCTGGAAAACGCGTTTGTTGCTTTGTGGTGTATTTTTCAAATTGACAATGGAATTAATTAACCTCGGGAAATCAGCGCTACTCGGCAGTTACAAAACTGCACTCTTACATTTACATTGCAACGGCATAATTTTTAGTGTGCGATTGCATTCGATTGATCGCCTGAGTTCGGCAGTACTCGATTCTTTGTTAGCCAGGTAAGCATCTTCAGGTGACAATTTAGAAGCGCTCGACGCCAACGGCACGAAAACCTCGCGACATGTAAATCTGCGCATCGTGCGCGATAAAGGAAAAAGGAACATGGCCTGTCGCTCTCCCTCTCTTCGCCCCCCCCCCGCCCCCATTCCGCGCCTCTGCCACGAAACGAGTTTTCGCGTGCAATCGCAAACTTCCCAACGAGGCAACAAGCTTCCTGGCACCACGAGCCGAGAACGTAATTGAATTTCCTCCGATAAGAGAAAGAACCGATGCCGAAGGCGTCACTGCAAAGTGCTCGCACACCTAATGCAATTGTTCAGAAGCGCATGCGTACA